AAATAGTGCCTGCCAGAAGTTGCTTAAGAACACCTTATCCCTAACAAAAACTATAGAGTCAGGTAACCCATGCAGGGTATGCACGTGCTTGAAAAACTTGTTAGCCACATTCACTACAGTGTAAGGGTGAGTAAGAGTCATAAAGTGAGCAAATTTTGACCTTCTATCAATTACCACAAAGATAACTTCCTTGCCTTTAGACTTTGGTAGTCCTTCAATGAAATCCATGGTGATATGTTTCCAAACTTGGTCTGGAATGGGTAGAGGTTGCAGTAGGCATGGGTAAGGAACATTTTGTTTCTTTGGCACACATCACAAGTAGATACATAGTCAATCACCATCTGTTTCATACCAGGCCAATAGAACAATTGTGAAAGCCTTTTTAGAGTTCCAAGTTGGACTGAATGCCCTCCAATTGGTGAGTCATGAAAGGTTGTCAATAACTGTTGCCTGAGTGGATCATGATCCCCTATGTAAATCTTACCCTTCTTTCTCAATACTCCAGCTGTGTAATGGTATATATGAGCTTGAGTAACCACTGTTACCTTAGAGATTAAGGCAGCTGCATAGGTATCCCCTTTGTAGCTATTACTGACTTCCTGCATCCAAGTAGGAATTGTTACACTAATGGCATGAACTCAGCTGGATTAGACAAGATTTCACCTTCTTGACCCTCAAACTGCCTGGAGAGTGCATCAACAACTTTATTTTCTGCTCCCTTCTTATACTGAACTTCATAATCAAGTCCCAGTAGTTTAGTTAACCCTTTCTGTTGAATGGCAGTGGTCACTCTTTGTTCCAGTAGGAATTTGAGGTTGTGATGATCAATTCTCACTATAAAATGTTTATATTGCAAATAATGCCTCCATTTTTCTACTGCATTTAAGAGAGCCATATATTCTTTCTCATAAATACACCTTCCTCTGTGTCTAGGAGCAAGTACTTTACTCAAATAAGCAATGGGTTTTCCCCTTTGTAATAACACAACACCTATACCATTCTGGCTAGCATCAGTCTCTACTATAAAGTCTTGAGAATAATCAGGCAAGGCCAAGACTGGGGTGTTGATCATGGCTTGTTTCGGAGCTTCAAAGGCAGTTGTAGCTTCCTCATTCCACTTGAAGGCTTCCTTCTTAAGCAAATCAGTCAGGGGTTTAGCAATAACTCCATAATTGAGCACATATTTTCTGTAATAGCCTGTTAATCCCAGAAAGCCTCTCAAACCTCTCAAGGTAGTAAGAGTGGGCCAGTCTACCATAGCCTTGACCTTCTTAGGGTCAGTAGAAACTCCTTCCTTAGAGATCACATACCCTAAGTACTCCACCTTTGATTGCCCAAAAGAACACTTAGATTTCTTTGCATACAAGGTCTGAGCTCTCAGGATTTTGAACACTGCCTCTAGATATGTCAGGTGTTTAGGTAGAGATTTACTATAGATGAGGATGTCATCAAAAAATACCAACACAAATTTTCTGAGTAGAGGTTGAAAAACTTGGTTCATCAATGCTTGAAATGTAGCTGGAGCATTTGTTAGCCCAAATGGCATCACCTTGAATTCATTTATGTCCCAAATGAGTCCTAAAAGCAGTTTTGTAAATGTCTTCACTCTTCATCCTGATTTGGTGGTACCCATACCTCAGGTCAATTTTTGAGAAAATAACTGACCGAAATAACTCATCTAGCAATTCATCCACTATTGGAATTTGATACTTATCTTTGATGGTTATCTCATTAAGTCCTCTATAATCCACACAAAACCTCCAAGTCACATCTTTCTTCTTTACTAGTAAAGCTGGTGAAGAAAAAGGTGACTGAAGATCTCTAATGATCCCATTAAGCATCATTTCCCTTACTTGTTTCTCTAGTTCTTCTTTTGAAAGAAATTATACATGTAGGGCCTCAGGCTGACAGGAGCAGATCCTAGTTTGAGTGGAATTCCATGATCTAGGGCTCTTGTAGGCGGCCGAGATTTAGGCTCAGCAAACACATCTTGATAGGTGATTAATACTGTCTGGATAGAGGGATCAATGGGCTCCTCCTTTTTTGCTGCTACTGCTTGCACCAAGAACAAGTGTGCCATGAGAGTTTGGCCCTTTTTTATTAGTTTTCCCATAGTTCTTCCACTAGTCCATCCTAATTGCCCATGTTGGTTGATGCCCTGTAACACCACCTTATTGCCCCCTTTTTCCAATGGTCACACAGTTCTTCTCATGGTCAAATTTGGTTGGATTGAACTTCTTCATCCAATCATTTCCAAGGACTATGTCATAACCTCCTAATTGTAGTATTCTCAAGTTTTCTTCAAACAATTTCCACCCATCTTCCAGCTGAACTTGGGACAAACAGAGTTGGTATACATGTAATTGCCATCAGCCATTGTTACTCTCAAAGTATTAGAAAACACTGGTGTGTAGCCAGTCTCCTTGACAGTAATCTCGTTAATGAAGCTGTGAGTGCTACCTGAATCCACCAAGATAGTTAGCTCCTTTCTTCAAAACACTCCTCTGACTAATATGGTATTGACTCCCATATTAGTACCAGAAAAGGTATTAAAGCAAACAGCCTCTTGTATTTCCGGTCCCATGTCTAACTCAATCTCTATCTCATGTGGGGGATCTTCTTGTATAGTAGCTACTTCCTCCACTTCTCCAGTTAAGCATTGCAACTGTTTGAATTGGCACCTGTGACCAGGACCAAACTTTTCTCCACACCTGAAGCATAGTTGGTTGGCCTTTCTGTACTCATATACCTCTGGAGTCAGTCTCAAGGGACTTTGTTTGGATGGAGCAGTTGCAGTTAGTCTTTGCACAACTGTTGGAGCTGAAGCCTTAGCAACAATGGTCACTCTTGCCACTGGTTGGTTCTTCTTCAAGACAGCCTCAATAGCCCTCTCTTGCATTCTAACCTGCTCAATAGCACAACTCAAGGTTTTAGGTTTGAACAACTTCACTGAGTACTTGATTTCATCCTTCAAGCCTCCTACAAAGCTAGAAAGGAAATGTGCCTCATTTAGTGCAGGGTTCCTCACTATCATCTGAGCTTTAAGGTCATTAAACTTCACCAAATAATCTTCCACATTGCTTGTTTGTTGTAGTCGATTAAATTCTTCCAATACATCCTCCATTAGCGCTTCCCCAAACTTATTGCATACCTCCTCCTTCAACTCATCCCATGTAATCACTCATCTGCTTAGTATCAGGGAATTATACCATAACTCAGCATTACCATTCATATACAAAGCAACCCCTTCTACTTTAAGATCCTCAGCTACCTTATACAGATTGAAGAATCTATCACATTTTCGAATCCATACCTTAGGGTTAGTACCATCGAAGCTTGGTAATTCCCATTTGGGATTAGGAACCTGCCCTTGTTGTGGTCTAGCTGCTCTATTCTCAGCCGGTAAGGGAAGTAGTCCAATTCCAACTCTGGAAATTTGCTTAGGTGGCCTAGGTTGCCTACGATTCATGATATCCAACCTCTCCAACAGCTGTTCCAAGGTGCCTTGAATACCGGCTTGGGTATCCTTCAAAGCTTGCTGCCCTTCTTTCAGCTCGGCCAACAACTTGTCATGGTGGTTTAATTTTTCATCCATCACTTTCATGCGAGTTCCTTCAACCATTAGTACCTCTGATTTAGCGTGAAATCAACAATGCTCTGATACCAATTGTCAAGCTCTAAGCTCGATTCAAGCCAAAACCACAATTATAGGAAATTCAAACAACAAGTAATTTTTGGGATAATTTTTTATTTATTGGCTGAAATGAAAGTATTACAACTAAACTGAAGGAAATGAAATGAAAAACAACACTAATAGTTGAACACCATTGTTGTGAGCTCGAGTATGCAATAGAAGAAGAATAGATTTAGGTGAGAAGAGAGTTTGGATTGAGGGAGAACAAATAAGAAGAAAGAGAGGAATTTAGTTACTAGAAGTTCGTTGTTTTCTCCTCTCCGCGCCGTTGTTATTTTGATGCTTTTGGAATTAATCTGAACCTTTGATCTATACCTGCTAAACAAATCTTAACCATCTAATTTTTTCGTATTTTGCAAGGAGGTCCTTCTGCTTTTTATAATTGAACTCTGCCCCATTTTTAATTATAACGACAGACCATGACAGTGTGTAACTGAAGAGTCAATTCAGGTAAGCAGCATATAAAAGAAAAAATTCATAAATTGGTAACAACAGGTAGATATACTAGTAAAATAAGGAAAAGATGTTATTGAAAAATATTTGCGGTTTTTAGATAACAAAAGTAACGCTTGAGAGAAATTAATAGACCAACGTACAAAAAGCAACGCCACTTTTCCTTCTTTTTTTTTTTTTCTTTCCCAGAAAAAGTGCCAAAACTGTTTAGTTCATAAAAGAGTGTGGTTTTTGTTAAGAGTGGTATTATTCAAAAATACTTACTCACATGGTTCATGTGTATTTAATATTTACATGAAAGAGATATTAGGTATTTATTAATTATTAATTTAACGTAAATAAAATTTTCGAATATATGATCAGGTCAAGTCCGATTTTCCGGACCTAAAATCCAATTTCAATTCAATTAATAGTAGCATAGCAAAGGGGAAACGATATCTAAAACCATATCCACTACCGCGGGTCCCATGTTTGATGTTCCCCGGCACAGGCCATAAGCGGAAACAGCTCGACATAAAGAGCGTGCATCACACCGCCACAATCTGACGACTTGTAATATTTGCGTGAAGGACACGCTCTCTTTCGAGGTTGGAGAATAATAGACAACATCACAAGTGTCACCATCTCTTCTAGGACCTTCTGCCTTACGTTTCTAGTGACAAAAAAAGCAGCTTTAACGAACGGATCTTCGCCTTCGAATATACCACTTGGACCGCTCTCACTGCAGACTTTCGAAATATAATATATTCGGAAATTATAATTAATTAAATCAAAGATAATTCGAAGAACAAAATTCCAGAAACTATTTTTAATATTTTTGCTTTTTCAAAAACTTTGTTACCAATTTTTTCAAATAATAGTATTTGTAGAGTTGAATGTGATAAGGCTCCGAGTCCTGGAAACTTGGCAACGTGGCACGTGTGGTCCATCTGCTTCACGGCGTGGCGGTTGCTATCAATCAAGTTTGAGCAACTTTATCAAAGAAAGAAACTTCCTCTTAATTTTAGTTGAAATTCAACTGTAAATTTTCTCTGTGGGTTTTGCTCAAAACGAAGCTGAGGTTCTCTGATTTTGTCACTTTTAAGAATGGCAAGTCCTATGGAGAGGGAGATTCATAACGTGATTAATGAGGAAATTGTGTCGGTGGAGCTTCCTGCACCTCCTTCCTGGAAAAAATTGGTACAAATTTTATTTTCTCAGCTTTACCTGCAGACTAGCTCTGTTATTTTACTTGAGCAATTTCAAGTTGTAGAGTAATAACATAAAATTTTGAACTTTCTGTAATTTTCTGTTCTTTGCTTGCCCCAATTCATGTACTATAGTTGCTTGAACGTTTCTAGGTTTTGCTCAGCTTACTCCTTTTTGTTAATTCTTAGTGTTTTGGTTCCCATAATTAATTAGGAGGAAGCTCAGCTCTGTTTCCAGTTGTTTCTTTTTTAGTTTAAGTTGAATTTGCAAACGGATTAAAGATAGATTTTTCTCCGTTTGTTTGTGTCAAAATTGGTTTTAAGTGGGAGTTTCACTATTTAACTAACGTCTTCAATTAGTTGCTTGGATTTTGTATTGGTCTTCATTAGCTTACTTCTTTCTGTTAATACTTAGTTTTCTGTAGAAGGCAATTTAGTTANCCCCGCCCCAAAAAAAAAACAAATCCACCACCAGCCCAAAATAATTTAAGTTGGATTTCAAAAAACTGTTAGTACCAGTCAAGTGGATAGCTGCAAATGGAAATTTTTGTTGGTTAGTTAAAGAATTTAGAAGTTTGGGTAGGAAAAGCTTGTCAGCTAAATGAAAGGTCTCAATGGTAAATTGGATAAGACAGAAAGGGGCGAGGGAGGGTAGGCAGATACACGCGTGAGCCTTATTAAATTCTTGACACCAAATAGAAGATTCAAGTTTTCACTCACTAGTTTATTAAAAATTTAATTAACAAGTCGATATAACAAGCTAAGTTTCTTTTTTAACAACCCTGAGATGTCAAATACTGCCAAGGTTATCGTCCAACTTGGGTGGGTGACATATTTAAGGATAAAGGAGATTGAGTTCAGACAGGGTGGGTAAAGTTAGTTAAACCTGTATCGTCGCATCAAAGTTTGGGCTAAAATGAGCTAAAAGAGCACAGCCTAACAGGTTGATTCTCAACTCTCTACTTCAGGCTAAAATACTTAACGAGTAAAAGATAATAAAAAATGAGGGGGGCAGTGGGGATAAAGAATGAAAGTGGATAGGAAGGGGAAAAATACTTAAATACCCGACCGTAGACAGTATTCCGAAACGATATTGACCTGAACATCCTTCATGGTAGTTTGGGTCATAACCAGTATGATTCGATCCGTATATTTACCTCAAAAGATGAGAAGAAAGAGCCTTTTTTCTTGTTCATACGTTGTTTTATGTGTTTATCATTTTTCTCGTGAGCTTAGATAGTTCATCTTTGGTATCATGATAGGGGATTCTAGGTCCTTACTTTAAACATTGTGAAGCACATCAGTGTTAATGTAACCCTTCCTAGTTGCCACAAAATCAGTGTGCAACCTTAGATGTGAAAGGTAGAGACTAGAGAGTTTGTACCTGGGTTGAAGATGGATAGTTGGAGAATAACTGTGTTTTGTAGTGTACTCTGGAGATTCTTTGGGAGAGGTCGTATCTAAGGGAATTCAAAACGTGCTGCTGTGTAGGCTTACTTGTACACTTGACATAGATTTTACCTCTGTCGCTTTGCAGTTCATTCCAAAGCAAGGGAGTACACCAAAGAGGAATGAGGTTGTATTTATTGCTCCAACAGGAGAGGAGGTCAAGAACCGCAAACAGTTGGAGCAGTATCTCAAATCACACCCTGGTAACCCTGCAATATCAGAATTTGATTGGAGTACCGGCGAGACTCCAAGGAGATCAACAAGGATCAGTGAGAAGGCAAAGGCAATGAGACCACAATCACTACTTGAATCACCAAAGAAAAGACGCCGAACATCATCTGGTGCAAAGAAAGAGAGCAAGGAAGCGGAAGCTGCAAGAGTTGACCAGGAAAGTTCAGAAACAAAAGAGATGGAATCTGCCAAAGAAGAAAATGAAAACTTGGAGAAGAAAGACGGAGGCGCAGAACCTGAAATGGATGGCAAGGGGAAGAAAGAGGTGGAAGCTGCGGATGAAGAGGCAGAGGGCATGAAGGGTGCTGAACTACACCCTGAGGAGAAGCCAGAAATGGATGACAAGGGGAAGAAAGAGGTTGAAGCTGCGGATGAAGAGGCAGAGGGCATGAAGGCTGCTGAAATACACCCGGAGGAGAAGCCAGAATCTGAACCCGAGAAAGTTAACAGTGCTGATGATGGCAAACTGGACAAGTCAGAAAATGCAAAGATTGAGGACAAACAAGTATCTGGAGAAAAGCTGGAGTCTCAAAGTGACAAAGAAAGTCCTGCAGCTGATGTGAATGAGAACAAGCCAGAAGCTGTCACCGCGGAAGGGATCAATGAAGCAGTAGGGGGAAGTTCCAAAGATGTGGAAAATGCTGTTACTGGGGAATCTAATGAGGGCAAAAATAGGTCGCAAGAAGAGGAGAAAGAAATGAAAGGAACTGATTTGGTTATGGGAAATAACAAGATGAACCAACCAGGGCCGGCTCATTCCCAGCAGCATCAGTCACCTGCACCTATTAGCTGCTGAATGTATCTCCCTTTAGGACATCTCATGTTACATGTTTACTGACTTTTGGATTCATTTTGATTATTGTAATAGAAATCTGTGGTAGTTTAGGGTCTAGATTTCAACTTGATCTTTTATGTGTATGTAGTTTGTTTCTATTGTGATACGCTGATCTGTCATTAAACCTTGATGTAGAATATATTAGCTGAATCAGCGAGTTTACGGTTTCCTATTTGCTGGAACTTGTGTTATTTGCTATAGCAAGCTTTTGAAAAGTCACTAGTTAGGCATGCTTTGTTCATTGCCCAATTGAATCGATTTATGGAGTAGGTGCAGCCAAAGAAACAGAGAACCTAGTTAGCAATCCAAATGCATCACGACCTTATATAATCACTAGGCCAGAGTTGTTTTTACAGTTAGAAAATGATAATGACCATATTGGAATGAACAGTTTTAGTGTGAAGAAACACTTAAATATTCACCATTTTCGTGCACTTGCACATCATTACTGGTGCCATTGGGACTACCTGCAAGTAATTCTTTTTTCCTACTCTCCTCATACTTTCCAGCCAAAGAATCAAACAAAATCCCAGCACCAATTCCTACTGCCAAATCAATAGTGTAATGACCCCTGGTACTCAACAATCTGATCATTTGCAATACGTTCAAGGTGTCAAATAAATAAGCCAATTTCCATCTCTGCATACGCTTCATATCAAGTGATGCAATCACCGATGCTGCAACATGCCCCGAATAGAACAAGAAAAACGACACATTCCCAACTGGAAAATCAACGCCTGACCCCAAGAAATCCTATATTTCACAAAATAAGAAAACGATCAGTTGTCCGAGCAAATAATTTTTGTGCGCCATTTTCCACTTTTGGCACTGCATCATGTATAAAAGTAGACTTTAACTTCTATACAATTGCCAGCATAAACGAGTTTTATACTATTAGGTTACTTAAAATATGATTACATGCAACCATATATAAAAAATGAGATTAATAACCTTAAAAATAAGGGGTGTGTTATTTGTTTTATAATAGCTGGTTAAAGTACACTCATAGTGTAAAGTTGTTTACATTGAGAAAAAAGTAGTGGTAGATGGAAGATCACATGGAATACATAAACTATAATATGTTCAACTTTAAAATATGGGGTACCACAGATTCTGTTTGTAGAAAAGTGGAACTGCTAAGGAAGAAATATTATTATCATATTTGTCGAGATAAGTACAAGAAATTTGTTAGATAGCAGAATATGCTGATCAAGAAAAAGACTAAAATTAACAGTTGGACACCCTGGTATCCTATGCAAATGGTCTATGGTCCTAACTCCCTTATGACTTCAGATTGAAGAGTAGATCTTAAAAATGAAACTTTTATTCATATGAAAAGATAAAACAAAGAGCTTATAGTATAATATTTGTTGGTTTTTTTCACCTCTGGTAATGGCAGCTGCGTAGCATATCCAAGAATGCCTCTGCATGTGAACATGAACAGAGCTGAGATGGTAGCTCGTGGCCGTCCTTCAATTAAGAAAGTCCATACTATGTATACCATTTGCATCCCTACAAAGACCTATGAACAAAAACAATGATCTCATTTCTCCTGTTCTCTACTATGTCAAATCACTTAAATCAATGAATTTGGCAAATTGTATAACAGAACTAGGAAAATAATTTCAACGCATAAAGCAACCCCCTTAGTTTTTACTGTCAAGTAATTCTGATTTTCTTACCATATTTGGTTTTTCTATTTGTTAAAGAAAATGACAACATATTTACTATAATTGCCTTTTCCTTCCCGTAGAAGTAAACTATAAATCTTCAATATTTAGCTAGTCCTTTTTCTTGTAGGAAAAAGTTTGAACTTCTATAAATTAAGATCATTCCTTTTAATTCAAAAACATCCACAATATAGCCATAGGGGGCTTGAGAGTCTTGTTTTGGGACAATTGTGTCACTTGCATTTGCCTCTTCGTGAGATTGTTCTTTCGATATTATGCACGCGCAGGTTAATTGACCGAACCATATTAAATATTTGTCGCGTTTGTTATATTTCTTTTCTGTTATCCGATTTATCGTCGTTCAAGTATTGCTTTATTAGCTTTCGCACGAGACCTGATTTTTTCGATCCTAACATTTCCTATATTCCAACGATTACAGTAATTGAACATAAAAATGTAGACACATTATAGATTCATTAATGAACTATATACGATGTTGTTAAATTGTATGATCATTTCATCTAAAAATATGCGGGTAGAACATGCGTACGTACCGTGTTAAGGCCAGCAAGAACAGAGTTGAGAGTAGGTCTGGAAGCAAGAAAACGATGCAGTGGACGCGTAGCAATGAATCCTAGATCGAAAGGCGGGGAAGAAGATTGGATCATACGAAGAGTGTATTCCACACCCATGAAAAACAACAACGAGGCAGCGAAGATGCACGGTACGGGATGGTACTTCACCACACCGAATATATCCCCTGCCGTCCATCTCATGAAAAATGCATTACTCAGCCACCCACAATTACACAAATCAGAGGATGATCTCTTCTTCATGACTACAATGATCTTATAATAGTCGTCCTCTTTGGTTTTCTTCTTGCTTTTGAATTTAACGCCGTTAAGGAAACCGTTCTGTTTAAAGAGAACAGAACGGTTTCGAAATCAGAAAGGATACCGTTCGAGGAAATCGTAGATCTCACTTTCGAACTCAGATCGCAGCAGGGAGAGATTGAGATTGAGATTGAGATTGAGATTGAGATTGACAATGAAGTGTAGGAAATTTGGTATGGGAGAGGAGAATGTGGCCCTTGACAGAGAATTATGGAGGTCGAGCATTAAGGTTGTAGGTTAGGGGAAAATTGTGAATATTTCTACAGCACAATAGAGTGAGACTAGCCAATTAGGAGTTAGACTAAGAATGTCACTGGCCGTCTATTGATGCAGGGCTCTACCTGCTTGTTTTACTATACCAGCCATCTATTTCGTATTTAGTATTCTGTATTTCATATTTCTTATATTGCTGTTATTTTATTATGCATTTTTATGGTACTAATATATCGGCTCCTGTTGCTTTTTTGAGCCGAGGGTCTCCTGGAAACAGCCTCTCTACCCTTCTGGGTAGGGGTAAGGTCTGCATACATATTACCCTCCCCAGACCCCACTTGTGGGATTATACTGGGTCGTTGTTGTTGTTGTTGATTTGTACCAGATTAAAAGAAGCAGCAGCCTGAAAACGTGCTTTATACGCGTAGAGAAACTAGCTATTATTCTGCGATAAGAAAATAGTTATACTTGAAATAAAACAATAAAGAAGAATATTGCAAAGAAAGAGAGAGAATTTTATTGATTTTGAGATGATTTACAATGGGATAAAATCCCTCTATTTATAGGGGAAAAATGACTTAGCTAAAAAGTAACAAACTCTCTAAAAGATAGACATTCACTCTAAGTACAATTTTATTCATAATACTCCCCCTTGAATGTCTACTCAATAGGTAATGTACCTCGTTAACACCTTAATTAAAATAAATTCCAGTGGGAAAAAAATTCTAGTAAAGGAAAAAGAGTACACATATTTAATCATACGCCTTTTGGTTGCCTAGTTAAAAACCTCGCAAGGAAGACCCAGTGGGATAAAACCTTGTAAGGGAAAAAGAGTACAACGCGTATTAACTCCCCCTAACGAGAGCATCAATTCACATCTTTGAACTTTTGCATCCCAATCTTGTACCCCAACTTCTTGAAGGTTGACTTTTTAGAGATTTGGTAAACAAATCAGCTATATTATCACTTGAACGAATCTGTTGCACATTGATATCACTATTCTTTTGAAGCACCTGTGTGTAAATAACTTCGGTGAAATGTGCTTTGTCATATCTTCTTTTATAAATCCTCCCTTCAATTGGGCTATGCATGCTGCATTGTCTTCATACAAAATCATAGGTAGTTTGTCACATTTCAAACCATATTTGTCTCGAATAAGATGTATTATAGACCCTAACCACGCACATTCTCGACTTGCTTCATGAATAGCCATTATCTCAGCATGATTAGATGAAGTAGCCACGATTGATTGCTTAGTCGATCGCCAAGATATGACAGTGCCTCCACAGGTAAACACATAGCATATTTGAGATTGAGCCTTGTGTGGGTCGGATAAATACCCAGCATCGGCATAGCCAACAAGATCGGGACTGCATTCGTTGCCATAAAATAAGCCCCATATCTGTAGTCTCTTTTAGATACCGCAATATGTGTTTGATTCCATTGCAATGTCTCCTTGGGAGTAGAACTATATCCTGTTAAGACATTAACTGAAAAAGTTATGTCAGGTCTTGTAGTATTAGCAAGATACATTAGTGCACCAATTGCACTAAGATATGGTACTTCAGGACCAAGTAACTCTTCATTCTTTTCTTGAGGTCAGAACGGATCCTTATTCACGTCAAGTGATCGAACAACCATCTGAGTACTTAATGGATGTACTTCATCCATGTAAAATCGTTTCAATACCTTTTCTGTGTAGGCAGATTGATGAACAATTTGCAAACCGAGATGTAATTCTATCTTTCCGAGATCTTTCATCTCAAATTCCTTATTTAAATAATCAATTGCCTTTTTGAGTTCTATAGAAGTTCCAATAAGATTTATGTAATCAACATATACGACAAGTACAACAAATTCTGATGTTATTTTCTTTATAAAAATATATGGACAAATGACATCATTTATATAACCTTCCTTTAATAAATACTCACTAAGGCGGTTATACACATTTTTCCTGATTGCTTTAGACCATACAAAGATCTTTGCAATTCGATTGAAAATATTATTCGGGACTTTGAATTATGTGCGTCAGGCATTTTAAATCCCTCAGAAATTTTCATGTATATCTCATTATCAAGTGAGCTATAAAGGTAGGCTGTAACCACAACCATTAAATGCATGTCAAGCTTTTCGTGGACAACAATACTAATGAGAAAACGAAATATTATTGCATCCATAACAGGTGAATATGTCTCTTCATAATTGACACCAGGCCTTTGTGAAAATCCTTGGGAAACGAGGCAAGCCTTATATCTTTGTACCTCATTTTTCTCATTTCTCTTGCGTACAAAGACCCATTTATAACCAACCGGCTTAACACCATTAGGTGTTTGGACTACATGCCTAAAAACTTCACGTTTCGCTAGTGAATCCAACTCGGATTAGATTGCTTCTTGCCATTTTGGCCAATCATATCTTTGTCGACATTTTTCAACAGATTGAGGTTCAAGATCCTCACTATCTTGCATAATACTAGATGCAACATTGTATGCAAAGACATAATAATCCATTATATCCAATCGATTCAAATTTGTCTCAATATCGATTGGATTTATTGGTAGTTCCTTATTTTCTTGAGTCTCAGGCTCAATGATTTCATCATGAATCTCAGAATTGGTTAAATTATGGATTTCTTAAAATGAGACTCTTTCGTAGTGTCATCTTGATCATTTATTTTTCTTTTTTAGGATTTTGATCCTTAGAACCCAATGGTCTACCACTCTTTAGGCGTGCTTTTGACTCATTAGCTATGACACTAGAATATTGTCCAATAGGAACATCAATACAAAGTGGAACATTCTCTGGATATGTGATTTTGTTATCCTTTTCAGATCTGTAAATGCGTCACGCATTTGATTTGCTATTGTGAATGATATTTTGCACCTCTTTTTACAAATAAAGGCATGTGGATCAAGATGAGATAATGATAGATTTTTTCATAAAACTTTCCGTTTGGTTTTACCAATTTCTCCCCTAATTTAAAAAAAGTGTCTCATCGAATCGACAGTCTACAAATCGAGCAGTGAACAAATCCCCCGTTAATGGTTCGAGGTAGCGAATAATGGAGGACGATTCAAACCCAGCATATATTCCTAACCTTCTTTGGGGACCCATTTTGGTGCGATATAACGGTGCTACATGCACATATACTGCGCATCCAAAAAATCTTAAATGAGATATATTAGGTTCATGACCCAAAACTAATTGCAACGTGAATATTTATGATAATTTGTCGGTCTGAGACGAACTAGCATTGCTGCACGCAAAATGGCATGACCCCAAACAGAAGTAGGTAACCTCGTTCTCAAGAGTAACGGTCTTGTTATCAATCGTAGACGTTTAATCAAAGACTCTGCAAGACCATTTTGAGTGTGAATATGAGCTACATGATGTTCCACTTTTATCTTGATAAGCAATAATCATTAAATTCTTGGGATAAAAAATCAGCAGCATTATCAAGTCTAATAGACTTAATTGGATTATAGAAATATTGTGCCCATAATCGGATTATTTGTGCCATTAATTTTGCAAACGCCAGGTTGCGAGATGACAATAGGCATACATGAGACCATCTAGAAGATGCATCTATTAAGACCATAAAATATCCAACGACCCACTAGGTGGGTGAATAGGTCCACAAATGTCCCCTTGTATACGTTCCAAAAACGCAGGGGACTCAAAAAACCCAACCTTTATTGGTGAGGTCTAATAATTAACTTACCTTGATAACAAGAAGTTCAAGAAATTCATTATTTAAAAGAATCTTTAAATTTTTTAATGGATGCCCATTTGAGTTTTCTATAATCCGTCTCATCATAATTGATTCACGATGTCCGAATCGATCATGCCAAAGTACAAAAATATTAAAATCAGTAACCTTTTGGTTACGATAGAATGTGCCTCAATTGCACTAATTCTTATCCAATACAGGCCACAAGATAAAGATGAGAACTTCTTAATAACCCTTTTCTGGCCAGAGGCATTTTTCGTAACGATGAGATATTCAAGATTATTCTCATCTATTGTATCAATATGATATCCATTTCGGCGGATATCTTTAAAACTCAACAAGTTCCTTCTGGACTTGGAAGAGAATATTGAATTATCTATGATAAGTATTGTTCCCCTAGACAGAGTTATAGTAGCTTTTCCATAGCCTTCAATTAAATTACTACTACCAGAAATTGTTGTAATATCTGCCTTACACATATTTAAATGAGAGAAATATTTCTTCTCTTTGAATATTGTATGTGTCGTACATGAGTCAACTAAATAAATATTTTTATAATTGAACTTTGATCCAAGTTTGCTTTGTGGGATATCCATGTTTACATCTAATGGTTTGGCATACAAAAGAAAATATACGAATAAATATTAGTATTTCAGAGAAAAAGAAAAGAAATAAAGTTAAACCAATGATTCAATAATGATCTTTTAATGTCATTTCGAGCAAACTCTGATTATGGTACAAATAATTATATAGCTAATACTAATACAATTGTGAGTACACTACACATATAAATAATACAACTACAACAAATTTATTTATATGATGTTGTATTAATACATGACTTATAGACTTTACATTAATTTATTGTTAAATTAATTCTTTGCTATTTAATATTGTAATTAATAAAATGGACATGATAGAGTAAAATAATGCAATTATTGAACTATGTTCTGTACGAGGCTTATAAGAGTTTACAATAGGTTTTGCAACTTACATATGCACTTTTGGTCTGTTAATAAGATCAATATTCATAATAAAATTCAAACTCAGTAAACTTTGGAGGCTAAGTTTTAACCTTGCCATATTGCATCTGTTAGCGAGTAACAAACAGACTAAAACCAATAACTTTATTCAATGAAGTATTATACTAATTCGACATATTAATTCTTGCTTATTCGTATTAGCTAGTGAATAAACATCATGTAATTTTCATATTTTACATGATATTTATTCACTAATTAAT